CAGAAAACTCCTTCAAGCCAGGCAACCTTGCCGTACCCACAACGGTTAAGAATCAGAAGCTCGACAAGCAATTCGGTAAGTTCTTGACATGTTTCGAAGTTTACATATTAATATTCATTTTGTTGATATGCTTGAACAGATGCCGAAGTATGCAAAATTTTTGCACCACGAGAGAAAATTCGAACACGAGAAGTCATGCTGACAGAGGAATGCAGCGCGCTGATTCAAAAGAAACTACCACCTAAACTACAAGATCCAGGGAGTTTTACTATCCCTTGCATTATGGTGAGTTGTTATTTTTGATAAAGTGTTATGTGTTTAGGGGCTAGTATTAACTTAATGCCTTTTTCCATCACAGGAAGCTTGGTTGGGAGAAGTGAAGCCGACCACCTGTCTTTCCACTTAGTCGTCATCAACATATCCTAGGGGGTAGTCGAAGACGTCCTGATTAAGGTAGACAAACTGATTTTCCCAGTAGATTTCATAGGGCTAGACATGGAGGAAGATCGGGAAATGCCTTTAATCCTAGGACGACCTTTTCTAGCAACAGGTAGAGCATTGATAGATGTGCATCAAGGGAACCTAATCTTAAGGGTAGAAGATAAGCAAGTAGAGTTTAATGTTTTTGATGTTTAAAAAGCGTCCATCCGACTTAGACACATGCTTTGAGATTAGTGTCCTTGATAACATAGTAAATAAAAATTATAAGAAAACTACCCTAGTTCACCCCTAGAGAATGTTTAGTCAACTCTAGGACTATGGAGGTTGACTTTGAGATGGTAGATGACCAATGATTAAAGCCTTTGGGAATGGTGAAATTAAGGATATGAGGCTTGGATTCTCCTAGATGATTCCGCATTGAAGAAAATGAAAGTCAAGCTTACGACTTTAACCAAGCGCTTTTGGAGGCAACCCAGCTTTTTGTTTTTATTTTATTTTTCTTTCATTGATTAGTGTGTTATTTTTGCAGGTGCTAATTTCAAGTATGTTTATTATTATTATTTTTTCTCCTCTTTTTTTGTCTAAATATTTTGAAGTTGTGGTTGTTTCTCTAAATTCATAAATTTAACATGTGACGTGTTTTCGATGAGGTGCACCGCGTTTTTCTTTGTTTATAGATAGACAGACACAATGAATGAAACGAGTTGGTGATCGATTATCATGCGTATTTGCACTTCACGATGCAAAGGGTTAACTTTCTTTTTCTCATATTCTTACGCTTAACATTGGACAATGTTGATTTTATTGGTTGGGGTAGAATTTAAGAAACTTAAATTGAGCAAATTTTTGTATGGATTTAGAGAGTAGTTTTTTTATTCTTTATTTTAGTTGTGAGTTTTTATTTTGTGTCTCTTGGATGAAGTCATAGTCTATGATAGGAAGTGATTGCATAACATAGAACTAATGGAGAGATTTTTTACCTTTGCTTCTTCGAGATGGTTAATATTAATGACATTGAGTTGAGACCCTAGTGAACTGTGGATTGAAAGTGGTCAGTCACTTACTTAGAGACGTTTGTTATAGAAGTTTCCATGACTTCATTGTGATCTCAACAAACTCTGAACTCATTTGAAAATCCCTCAAGGCGAAATCCTAGAATTCACATCACTTAGGAAGTTTTTAGGCTGGTTTTGGCCAATTGAGACTTTCAAGCCAACCCTTGTTTTTGTTGTCACTAGTTACCCCTTTGAGCCTTGTAACACAATGTACCTTGTTTTCTTTCCTTTGAACTTAATTTTTACCCTATCCTGGTTACGAGCCAAAATACAATCCTACCCATGTTAACCTTAAGAGACTTTTTTGTCTTCAGCTTATTACGAGTTTTGGTAAGGAAGTGTGGTTGTCACAACCCACGTGTGCGAAGAAATTGGTTGGGGGTTGTGGAGTGTTTGTAAAAATCAGTGGGGATGTGCATGTGTGCATGTTTCAACCTTCTTAATTTTATTAAGTTTAAAAAAAAAAAAAAAAATTGGCATTTTGCCTAGTTAAGGGTATTTCGGCTGGAAACCAAACCCGCCTTAAAAACTGCCTACAGTACTTGGCAACTTCTGGTATAACAACCCACGTACACCTTAAACACATCCCCCCGCCACTTCATGGGAAAAAAAAAAATTACAGTTTGAAGGTTGTAAATTAGTGGACATATTGGTTGGTGGTTAGAGACGTGGAGTTCGATTTGATTTTAGAGTTTGCATGAGGAAAATCGAGTTCTCTTACTTTGTTATTCCTATCATTTTCTTGGAACCCATACCCTGGCCTAAAGTTATAACCTTTACAAAGACCTATTGATCCAAGGTATGGAAATTCTACATTAGCGGAGAGTGATGTGAAAAGTGAGCCTATGCGTTTGATTCCATGTTCACATATAAGTCATAACCCAATACTGAGATCAAAATTTGTTCTGAATGTTGTGCATAACACCATCCGAGTTTGTAGACTAATGGTTTTGTGTTTGTTGGATTTTCTAGGGCCGACAACGAAAATGAAATTGATGTTTGCATTGTCTTAGCTTTAGGTGATTTTTAATTAATCTATTTATTTTGTGTATATGCAATTTTTTAGACATCTTTATGAATTGATCCAAGACTTTTTGTTAGTGTGTTCTTTTTATGTTTATGTTTTGTTACTTTTGGAGTTTAGGATAAGTTTAGTGTGGATGTTTGTGGGTATCATCGCTGGAAACCCTCACGAGACTCAACTCGTCCAACTAGGGCCACCTAGGAGTTTAGAGGCTTGTTACATACGCTAAATGCAATCTTGTCAATCTACGAAGTGATTTAGGATAGTTTAGATTTAGGTTTTTAATTTGTTGTTTCTCGTCAAGCTTAGAGACTTATTTTATCGCTTATTTTCTAGGGACTAGCAAAAAGCTGGTTCGGGTTGTGATAAGCTTGAATGTTGATATTTTGTTAGTGATTTAATTGGTTTATTCATGAAAAATGTTGTTAAAGTGGGAATTTGGATTATTTCTTTCATAAATACCATTTATGGGATCAGGGGTGCATGTTGAGTGTTTTCAGGCTCAAACAGGTTGTTGAAGGGAAAAGAATGATGTCGATAGGATTTACGATGCATAGGACAAACGGCACAAAATCAGGGTCAAATGAGGGAGTTGTGGTACGTGAAGATGTTACGGAAATCTGGAAATTCTCATCATAGTTGCCTCGAGTTTTCTGTCATAACTTGAGCTGTAGAGATCAGAATTTGATGATTCTGGTGGCGTTGGAAAGATTATTCAAAGAGAACATGTTGGAGTTGATGACTTCATCTAATTCTTAGTTTACAGATGCTTGGGACAGAAGGAACGATCACCATAGTGATCATTCTTACCGCCCGGCGATGGTCACGGTTTGTGTTAATTCATTACCCTAATCCGAATCTGAATGGGCTAAGTTTTCTAATCTTTTTCCTAAGCATGAACAAAACCCTAGGGATATAAAAGAGAGTCTTTAAGAATTTAAAAGGTTTTTTGGAAGGAAAAAGGACGGCTACTACTTTGGAGATCGAATCTTTTGCGTTCTCGTTCACAAATTAAGAAGTTTTTCAATTTTTCTTTCTTGAACTATGTTATTCAATACAATGGTTGTTTTCATTACTGTAATTATGAACTAAATCTCTTTTCTAGGGCTAAAGATGTAGCCCAATTTATGAATATGTGTTTGATTAATTTGTTGTTAATTCTTATTAAGCATTTAATTCTAAGTTTTATTATTGTGCATAATGCCTTCAATTCTTAAGGATCGAGAGTTGAATGATATCATGGGTTGGGTTGAGATCGAGAGATGAAACTTGTTTGTCGAAGGTAATAAACCATAGATTGACGAACGCTAAGATAGGTTACCGCGATCTGTGAGGCTCTGGTAAATTCTATAGAACTTAATGATCTCTTAGCTTCTAAATTCAACTTAAGATATTTTGGGTTGTTGCTTAAGGGTTAATTAGCTAATTGTTCGAGAGAAAGTTAGTGGAATATTAGGGAGTTTGGCCTTTAGAATAAGCTTAATTAGTTTAGCAATAATTATCAATGCATAGGATTAAATTGGTGTGAAATCTATGCCCTAGGTTTAGTCATATTATCTGTATATCAAAGTGTTTATAAATTCTGCATTTATTTGGTTTTTAGTTTGTTTACTTTTTCATGAAATTCATTCTTAAAATTCAGTTTAATCAAATAGCAATAAATTAGATTAGTTTGGTACTTGGTAGGTAGTTCTCTGGGGATTCGACACTCGTTTACCGCGGCTTTATTACTTGCACGATTTCGTACACTTGCGAATAGCCTATCAAGTTTTTTGGCACCGTTGCCGAGGAACTATTTTTTTTTTAACCATATCAATATGAAATATATAGTTGCTAATTTGATTTTTTTATTTCTATTTACTGTTAATTGTTATTTTTTTTTGTCTTATTTGTGGTTTTCAGCTAGAATCTGGAGAGCTTACGTTCCAGAGGTTGTGGTCATCTTAATCCACTTGATTTTGAGATCGAGAGAACTGCAAAACAGTTGAGAGAGAGAAAAAGGCAAGCTAAATCTGAACAAGCAATGGCTAACACAGATGTTGTCAATCCTAATATGCAAAATCAAGAGAATGAGAATGAGGATAATTTAGGAGGAAATGCAATGGGTGGAGCAACAGTGGTTCGAGAGCATTGAAGGACTATTCTAGTTCTACTATTGATGGTTGTTATTTAAGTATCGGAGACCACCCGTTCAAGCAAACATTTCGAGATTAAGCCAGCAATTATTGGAATGATTCAGCAGTCAATCCATTCCCTGGTTATTGAATGATGATCCCAACCTGCATATCACAATTTCCTCTCGAGTGTGTGTACACATTCAAGCTAATGGGGTATCTGAGGATGCAATCAGACTAGGCTTTTCCATTCTCTGTACGATAAAGCTAAGGCTTGTTTGATTTCATTGCCATCTGGGAGCATCACGACATGGATGAGTTGGCTCAAGCGTTCCTCACTAATTATTTTCCACTTGCCAGTCAGCCAAACTGAGGATGAGATTACCAACTTTTACCAACAAGATTCAGAGTCATTGTATAAACATGGGAAAGTTTAAGGATCTTCTACGGAGGTGCCCACATCATGGTATACAATCTGGTCACAAGTGCAAACATTCTACCAGGTTTGCTACCAACCATTCAAGCCATGATTATGCTACAATTGGAGGAGCCTTGAACACCAAAACACCAGAAAAGCATACAATCTATCGAGGTGATGTGAACAACAACTATATAAGGACCCCAGAAAGAAATTCAACAGAGATCAGCAGGATGTGCACGAAGTCGACAGTTACACTGCATTGGCTGCTCAACTTTCAAACATCCAGAAGCAATTAGGTAATGTGTTAAAATAAATGCAATTGAATCTTCTTCCCTAACATGTGACCTTTGTGCAGGAAATCATCCATCCAAGGATTGTTAAGAAGGGAACCCGTTTGCTCGACCTGAACAAGCCAATTACATCGATAATTTCCAAAAGGGGCAGGGAATCCATATTCCAACACATACAATCCAACATGAAGAAACACCCGAACTTCTCGTGGAGCAACAACAACGAGCATAAGCAACCTCCTATTTTTCAGAATCAAGAGCCAACATCTAACTAGAGAATGTGCTCACCAAGTTCATTGAAGAGACAAACAAAAGGTTTGAGAAGACTGACATCCTTGTCCAAATCAATCAGCCTCTATTAGGAACCTTGAAAATCAAATTGGGCAGATTCATAACATATTAGCGGGAGAGTTCAAGGGGTTTTGCCGAGCGATATAGAGAAGAATCCAAAGGACAAGTACATGCAATCACCTTAAGGAGGAAGAAGTTTGAAAAATTTAGAGGGTGAAAAACTGAGGAAAGAACAAAACTTGAAGGTGAGCAGAAGAACGATCACCGCGGAATAAAGATGGTGGCCGCGGCGAGCGTGAGCAGGAAGACCGATCCTCAGAAAGAAGGACATCACCGCAGCGATGAAACTGGTTGCCGCGGCTACCATGATGCTATTCATATTTCGTTAGGATCATCAACGATCGCCGTGGTGATGAATCTGGTGGCCACACGTCGCCAAATGAGCAAAAACTCCTTCGAGCCAAGCAACCTTGCCATACCCACAACGGTTAAAGAATCAGAAGCTCGACAAGCAATTCGGTAAGTTCATTGACAATTTTGCAGTTTACATATAATATTCCTTTTGTTGATATGCTTAACAATGCCGAAGTATGCAAGTTTTTTAAGGAGATCCTCACGCACAAGAGGAAATTCGAGGAACACGAGAAAGTCAGGCTGACAGAATGGCAGCGCGCTGATTCAAAAGAAACTACCACCTAAACTACGAGATCCAGGGAGTTTTACTATCCCTTGTATTATTGGTAGTTGTTATTTTAATAAAGTGTTTTGTGATTTAGGGGCAAGTATTAACTTAATGCCGTTTTCCATCTATAAGAAGCTTGGATTAGGAGAAGTGAAGCCAACCACTGTGTCTCTTCAATTGGCAGATGTAACGCCCCACTTGAGGTATGTAGTTAAATTATTGTTGCATTTATTGAATGTTTATTGATTTTTGCTCTCATTTGAGCTTGCATGTTGTTATTTTTGGTTGGTTGGCCCTTAGTTGAATTTTGTTAAAGTTTTTTTGAGAAAAATGTGAAGAAAATCCCTTAAACTTTCATTAGGGGTAAAATGGTCTTTTCACTCAAAATTAGTTGAAAACTTGGGGAGTGAAAAGAGATAGAATTTCATGGAGAATGTAATAAAATGAGGGCATTATTGTAATTGACTAAGGGACATAGATAATTTCTAAGAAAGAGCAGGGCAAAATGGATACATACATACATATATATATATATATATATATATATATTATTAGAATAAGAGTTCAAGAGTAGAAACCCTAGCCACTCTATCTCTCCATTCATGCCATTCTCTACTCAAATTCTCTCAAATTTCTTCACTAGATTTCCAAGGAATTCAGATTTTGGGTATTTTTGAGTGGATTTTCAATCCTAAGCATCCAAAGGTAGATTCTTGCATCAAGATGTGAGATTAATTTAAATTTTTGAATTCTTATGGTTTTATATGCTTAGGTTTTTAAGAGGAAAGGAATTCTATACAAGAAACTATATGGTGGAGTTGCTCAAATTCAAGGTAAGTAAATCCAAACTAAATTGCGATTTAAGAATTTATTTGAGTAAGAGTTGTGTATGTATAGTATGTATTCATGCTTGCTGAGAAATGGAGATGTTATGAGTATTTATCTATATTGATATGAATTTAATTGAGTTATGAGCATGTTTGTGATTGAATGATGATGAGTTGAGTTTGATTGAAGTTGAAGGGAGTTTTGGAGCAAACCCTATGGGAGTGTTTTACCTTGACAGGAAATTGAGTGTATGAGGAGTTTTCCTCCCATTTTGTGGTTAAGAGAAGAGTAGTATAAATAATAGAGCTTTGGTATGCACATGAGTGTTTGATGAAATGCCTACGTGAGAACTGCCCTGTCACAGCCATGACTTTGTGAGTGATTTTTGGGTATCTTAGAAATCGAACTGGGTTGAGACCAAAACATAAAGTTGTAGCCCTGTCTCTAAGATTTAAAATGAGACAAAAACTGTAGTGATCCAAGGTGTATAACTCAAGTTATACCTTCTTGAGTGGGACCTGTGCAGAATGACTGTTTTGTGCAATATTGTATTTGGCATTTCATAAGGGCATTAATGAGCATGAACCATCCATATGCATTAATTGTGCTTGAGAAGTAGCTTAAGAAAGAGTAGAGAACTTTGTGAATAGACTACTCTAAGTTAAGCTATACTATGAGTACTAGCTTGGGAAGAGATAATATTAGCTTGAGCAAGAGTAGAGAATTTTGAGTATAAGCTATACTATGAGTAATAGTTTGAATGAAAAGAGTAGAGAATGTTGAGAATTCAACTCTAAGAGTAAAGAGAATGAGAACACTCTAATAGTAAAGAAAAGAGAGATTGAGCACTAGCGAATAAAAGAGAGAAAAGTGCTACAAAAGAGATAGAGTAGGTTTGTGCGTAGGGAACCCGTGAGTGATGATAAATCACGAGAGTGGGTGCTTTGTGATCTCCAGCCATGCCTCCGGTTAGATGGGGCCGTGACCGTCCACGACGATGGAACATGAGGTTCCAGCCGTGCCTCCGGTTAGATGGGCCCGTGACATTCAGAGAGAGAGAGAATACACTCACGTGGCCAAGGGTTCCGAATCCATGCATGACCGAGTCCGATCGGCAGAGTATGGTAGAAGTCACGAAGAGTGGGTTGGTGCTTTGTGATCTCCACCCAGCCGTGCCTCCGGTAAGATAGGCCGTGACATGCGTGAGGGAAGAATGAGCAAACAGGAGAAATAAAGAGAGACAATGAGTAGGGTTACGAAGAGTGGGATGTTACCCAGCGGCCTCCGTAAGATGAGGCCGTGACCTACAACAGGAAGTTAACAGAAAAGATTTATGAGAGAGAGAGACAGAAAGGAATCAGTAGAAGTCACGTGAGCGGGAGAAGTCCCGGCCGTGCCTCCGGTAGATGGGGTCGTGACATTCAAAGAGCGAGTTAGTAGAAATGAATTATGAGAAATGAGAATGAGATATATAGAGAATGAGAAAGAATGAAATCTTGAGAAAGAATGAGATGAGAGAGAAAGTATGAGAAAGAATGAGAGAGTTTGAGTTATTAAGGATAGAGATAGAAGAAAGAACATGCAGTTCTTTTGCATAAGTGCATGGACATCTCATACATGAAGCACCATGAGTTCTTCCATGGTTAGTGAAGATAACGAGAATAAGAGAGAGAACCATGATTTTCCTTCATGGTGAGTATGATGAGAATAAGAGAGAACCATGAATTTCCTTCATGGTGGTAAGAATAAGAGAAGGAGAAAAGATATAAGAACAGAGAGAAAGAAAGAATAAAAAGAGCAGAACGAGTTAAAGGAGAATAAAGTATTAGCAAGAAAGAGAAAAACAGTGAGAATTAGAAATATAAGAACGGTAGAGTAAGGAAAGAACCAAAGAGTGAGTTGTGGGGACAGGTAGTAGAGGATTTATTTACTGAGCATTATTGTGCTCACCCCACTATTCTTCCTTGTTTTGCAGGAAATTAGGAGCAACGGTCGGATGGACGCTGAGAGCGCAGAGTACTGGCACTACGTCTACTAGTTATGATATTTTGTATTATGTAGAAGTTTTTAATACAGAGTATTTTGATGTGAAGATTATATTTTATGAGTAAAGAAAAGTTTGAGCCCACTCTTCCATACGCTATTATATCTATAATTTACATAGTATGAACTATAAAATAGCAGTAGAGGAGGTGTTACAGTAGATCGACATAACATATCCTAGGGGGGTGGTAGAAGACGTCCTGATTAGTAGACAAACTGATTTTCCTAGTAGATTTCATAATGTTAGACATGGAGGAAGATCGGAAATGCCTTTATCCAGGACGACCTTTCCTACCACGGGTAAAACATGATAGATGTTCATCAAGGGAAACTAATCTTAAGGGTAGAACATAGCAAGTGAGTTCAATGTTTTGATGTTAAGAAGCGTCCATCCGACTTAGACACATGCTTTGAGATTAGTGTCCTGTAACATAGTGAATAAAAAATTTGAAGAAAACTACCCTAGTTCACCCCTAGAGAAGTGTTAGTCAACTCTAGGACTATGGAGGTTGACTTTGAGTTGGTATATGAACAACGATTAAAGCCCTATGGGAATAGTGAATTAAGGATATAAGGGCTTGGATTCTCCTAATGATCCGGATTGAAGAAAATGAAAAGTCAAGCTTACGACTTTAACCAACGCTTTTGGGGCAACCCAGCTTTTTATTTTTATTTTTATTTTATTTTATTTTATTTTATTTTATTGTTCTTTTCATTAATTAGTGTGTTATTTTTGCAGGTGCTAAGTTTCAAGTATGTTTATTTATTTTTTTTTATTTTTTTTTCTCTCTCTGTTTTGTCTAAAATTTTGATGTTGTGGTTGTTTCTCTAAATTCATAAATTTAACATGTGACGTTGTGTTCCGATGAGGTGCCACCGCAAGTTTCTTTGTTTTGACGAATTAAAAGACAATAA